TATCAATGAAAGCACTCCTAGCAGAGCAGATTTCACAGGTTTATCAGCAAGTCTTTGTGACCCTAGATTTTCCCCAGGATACACTCAAGCAAGGCGTGGGGCTGCACCTCTCCCCAGCAGTCATTCAGGCTCAAGGGGACTGGAGCCAGGAAACACCCCCCACCAGAGTACATGGGGACCCAGGGCTTTGTCAAAGCCAGGGGACAGGAGTCCATTGCTCTTTACTGCAGTCCTCCCAAGTCCCTCCATGAAGGCCTCCCAGGCGATCGAGCCTGGCCCAAGTCGCCCCTTGCAGTGAGGGGTCCCACCCGCCACTGACTTTTGACCAAGCTCTGGGGGCAGGGAGAGGAACCCGAGGCAGCGCCTGCCACCAGGGACAAGCCTTGTCTCCTGCTGCCGGCATTCCAGAGGTTGTCTCTTGCCCTTAGCCCCAAGGGGTAGAGGTACAATTCCTAAAATCAGGCAGAGTGGTCAGCAAGATCTCCCTATTCTTGTTTATAAAATTAAATCGAAATAGGCCTGTGAAATCTGCTATTTGCTATTCTCAAATGCAATTACAAGAAACAACTTCTATATACATCAGAGAGTACAAACAAGAATTAAAACTAGGCATTCCCGGGTTGTTATAACTCAAATTCTTAAATTCAGTCAGTTGAAAAATGATATAAACGCATGGGAAAGACAAAAGTAACAGGTCTGGTTACATTTCAATTTTGGGAAGAATTAGCACAGACTTTACAAAGTTACTTTAGAGATATGCAGCAAGGGCTAGTATCTGAACTTAGCGTGAGACAGTTCATCATGAAGAATCTGAAAAAACTCCTGCTTGGTTAAGCGTTAAATGTCCTGCAGCATTAATTTTCTTTACGTTGGTAGGAAAAGTCTCTCTTAGGTGACCACGTTGCGGAAGCTTTTTCTGTGATATGGCTTCCCTCTCATCACCTGCAGTTCTAAAGGTCATTCTGAAAAGCAAACCGCATACCCTCTTCTCCAAGTTAAGAGTTAAAATGGCCAATAAAATTAAATTTTTTTTGGGGGGGGAGGCTCAAGACTCTTTTAAAAGTATGATGAGCCCGTTTTACAATTGCCAGACTAGTTGGATTGTAAGGTCTTTATTGGCAAATATCTTAGAACTGAAAATTCCTCACACTGCAAGACACTGCACTTAGAAAACCAGCTTCAATGCTACCAGCCCTGCCGCTCGCTGAAATCTTACCTGTTGCTAGGAAACAGCTAGCGCGGAGGCTCTGGTCAGTGTTCTAAATCTCTTTGGTAGTATTGAGCGGGGGCTGCTGTTGGCGCACTGAAGTCACGCTAGGACCCCGCACGGCAGCGGGAGACGCCGAGGAGTCCCGCAGGTCATCACTGGGGACACCCGGAGGCTGACGGAGAAGACCGCGGCCTCGCGCCCGCCCTCGGAGAAACCTCCTCTTCCTCTGGGCCGGATAAGCGCGACCAGCCCTGGTGCACTGTGGACAGTCCACCCTGCCCCCAGCCGCATCGGGCACCTGGCTCCCACCCTGAATGTGTCTCCAGGGTTGGGGAGGGGAAGCGGGAGGGGGTGGGAGAGCGGGTCACGCCGGGAGGGGTGGCCAGGCCCTTCTGCAATCCCGATTGTCTAAGCGCTTGACCTGAGGAGATAGCCCCCCTCCCGGCCCACCCTCCACCTGGGTGCCGATGGTGGGGGGGGAAGGAGAGGGAGTCGCACAGCTTTTGCTCCGGGTGTGCCTGCTTTTTCAATCAAAGAAATTCTTTTCTGAGTTTCGGGTTTACTTACACAGCTGAGAGGGCTTGGGGCACTGGACATGTGCTTACCAGCCGAGCCCCAAGATTCCGTGCAGACACACAAAGGACAGGGGCACATTCGCTCACACTTTCACTCTCAAGCACTCTGAATTTAAACAATTCCTCTCATCTAGTTCCTGATGGTTGGACTTGAACCAACTCAGCTGGTGGCCAAATTCAGATGAATTCGACCCACAGCCCCACCCGAGTGAGGGCCAGGCGGTCAGGCTCAGCAGGAGCTCGACCTAAATTTCTGATTTGAGGTGATCAGCCTCTGTCTGGTCTTGGGTCAGGTCCCCAGGGTTCTTACTGATTTGGCGCCCCTGGTCTCAGGTCAGGGTGTAGTCCAAAACCCTTGCTTCCCGCCTGGAGTGCAGGTCGGCGGCCATGTACCCCAACCGGATGGGGTCTGAGAAATCTCAGGGCACATGCACCCCAGTTTCTCCAATTGGAACTCAGGCCACCGCCTGCTTATCCAGCCCGCGGCAAGTGGGCCAGAATTTGTGAAAGGTCGCTTCCCGGCCAATGCACCAAATGTTGCAGGGAAATGAAGCAACCAGACACCGAGGGTTTCTGGAGTACAAGGTTTTATTAACGTGTACGGGTCTAGAGGAGTCAGTCTCCAAATTCTGAGCCCTGAACAAAGGACTCTTGGGGTTTTTATAGTTTACAGGGTCTTCTTGTCTATGTAGCAAAGCGGGATACAGAAGCGGAATGTGGAAGTTAGTTCTAGCTACGGGGCAGAAGCAGAGTACAAAGACTAAATTCGAAGGTCAGTATTTAACAGCAGGGGTGTTAATCTCAGTCCTAGCTAATGCACCGTTGTTTACTTATCCTAGACAGCTCCATCATTCTCCCCAGGGTGCCTGGGGCCTGGGCAAATAAAGGTTAAACAAAGGTTCTTCAAAATTTCCCATATCAAAACCAGTTAAGGGTTATAGATACGTTAAATGTCCATTCTAGAGATTAGCTGCAAAACTGTTGCTATGCAAAACAGCTCTCAATGGCCCTGCTCCATTCGTCCTTTCCCCCAACTGACAACTGGGGGGTGGGGCGTGAGGACATCTTAATATTTCCTGGACACCCTGAGCTCTGGATCCCATTCCAAATTCTTTTTCTGGGACCCCCCTCCTGGCTGCGCCATGTTACAGTCTCAGATAACGGACTATGCACAGCTTTTCCTGCTGACCTGCTGTAAGGTGTTATTCCCTAAATGATCAAGAGATGGCAGCAGAGACACATGCTTAGAACATTTTTTACACTGACGATATTGTAATGAAGTTTCCAAAAAAAATTCAAAGGATTGAAATTACATGAAGTTGCTGGCTCTTGTAGATAATCTAGAAATCAGTTGTAAAGATCGCCAGAAAATTCTTACATTTAGAAGTTATGAAATTCACTTCTAAGTAATCCTCCAAATGAATCACAATTGGAGTTAAAAATAATTTCAACCGAATAATATTAAAATACTTTAAAAACCTATGAGAAAATGTAGGGATAAATCTGCATATTAGGGGAAAACAGTTCAAAATTCACATATTTTTCATCCATACTACAAACCCAGAAAAATAATTTAAATCCTGGGAAGTAGAAGAATGGAAATAAGCAAGGAGAGATGTCTGGAAGGGTACATACTTAAAACAATACCAGCTATTACCTGTTTGGGTGGGATTTTGAATTCATTTTTATTTTTCTGTATAATTCAAGTAAGCTGCCACAAAAAAAGGCAGTCTCAGTTTGGGTAAAAACAAAAAAAGGTACAAGAGGAAAATCTGGCATAATTTTAAAATGAATAGACTGCTGTGGTAACAACACCAGGGGCCTTTTCTCTGCTCTCCCAGACTGATCTCAGAGGGCCCCCTATTCCAAAGTGCACTTCTTTGTGTGCAAATGCAGTGGAGCAGAGAGGAAGTGACAGGACCAGACTTGAATGAGCAGAGCAGTGCTGGGCAGTACAGCCTGAGGGGGAACTTGCCCAGGGGCTGCCTCACTTCAGAGCCCCCTCACAGCCAAGACGCTTCATAACTAAGCAGCAGCACCATTAGGCTGACCTACAGCGCTGCTGCTTCATGATTCACCTGTAACAATGCTGAGCTTCCTAACAGCCATGCTGCACTCATAGCCACTAGTACCAAAATGGAGCTATTTGCACTAAATAGAGTTTACTTCTTCCCCACACCCTAGCTCTGGAACTCCTGCTGGCATTGACTTGGAACCAATGACCATCAGTTCACAGACACCAGATGCCACAGACAGACTCAGCATGAGACACAGGCCTTAGACTCCAGAACCTGGGCCCCAGAGCAGACCCAAAATCAAAAGCTGAACCCCAGACCCCAGCCCCAATCCCAAAACTGTCCCCATGACCCCAGCCAGACCACTGACCCTGAATGCCAGACCCCAGACACCAGAGATTGATGGCAAATGCTGAACACCAGATTTCACACATCAGAGCTGAGAGCCAGAGCTGCACATGGACCCCACATACCCACCCAGGACATGTGTTAGGGGAAATTGATAGCTCCACAGCACAGCCACTAAGGAGTGATTTGTTTTTACAGCCCAGGTTTTACAGCCCAGTGACTCGTCTTGTTTCTTCTAGTTTTTTTTAACTGCTTATCGTCTACATACCAGAGATAATGTAATGCTCTGCTTTCTGCTTCTATAAGCTGCCTCCTACTTTCAGTCCGAAGGACCAGCCCTCCTTTGCTCCATAAAAATAACTGCTTCCCCACTGCTCAGGGCCCAGAATTTGGAGATTGACTCCTTTGGGTCCGTGCACATAAAGTAAAGTTCCACTCCATACTTCTGAAAGCGGCTGAGTTGTTTTCTCTAACACATGAAGCCACACCCAAAGAAACTCCAGATCCCACACACACAAACACAGATTCAACCCCAGGCCACAGATCCAGGAGACAGAACCCAGATCTGGAACCAGGACCCCACAGCCAGACTCCAGAGCTGGAGCTTGACAATGGAGCCCACTTGCTAGATGCAGGAGTGGAACCGAGTTCTCAAAATGTAAACAGAGCCAGGAGCCAATAAAGCACCAATTCTTGACTCTCTAAGTCCAAGCAGCTGGCCTCAGAAATAGTTTTTCATGCCAATGCAAATGTACAAGGGAAGAAAATAACTCCCAGCACTACTAAATTATACCAAGCCCTGCAGAAATAGTCCAACAGGCTGACAGAGCAAAAAATAATAATAATTCTTACTCTTGCTGGGAGAAGTCCATGATCTCTCAGAGGCTGCACTTTCCAGAAGTTAGTGTCCTGGCCATGAATGTCACACAGCTGGTTCACAAAACCTGTGGGGGAATAAAAAATTATTTTTGTCATATCTTCTAAGTTCTAACAGCTGGAATAACAATCAAATTCCATAATTTAATTAATGAGAGGAATTCAACATCTACTACATGAACAAAGAAAATTCATATTAAAATGAATACCAAACATAATGAGGTAATATTAAGTATATAGGGTATTTTGGAAAATTGAAGAACAGCATCTGAGATTTCAAAGGTGAAGTTGGGGACATGCAGGTAATTTAGAAAAAAAGACATCATACCTGCCAAGTTAATTTATATTGGGCAACTCCCACAACTTTAAGACACAAGGAGTACAATAAGAGGGTCAACAAGCTCTTGCTAGGAGTCTTAATGCCTGAAGCTGAGGTGGTTGTGCTGAAGCTCTCTTCCTAAAACAAATTGTGGCAACTAAACCTCTTAGGAAGACATGAAATGACAATCTTAAGTAATTTCTCAGTCTTCCCTTTCTTAACAGCCAGTTTACCATCAACATGCCAAGTGCAAAATGCCGGCCCTCTCATGACCGCCTTTGATACTTTACATGGAAGTTTTATATCCACCAGCTATACTAGTCCATTGTTCCATATTTCACTGACATAATCATTCAGTTTTGAGAATCAGTTACTTTACTTAAATGGTTAAATCTTACTTAAGTAAATGGTGACATACATGTACTCCCCAAATGCACCCCATATTAAATACCTGACTGCTTGCTTATGTGGTGGGAAAACAACCTTTCCTGTAACCTCAAGAATCTTTGGGCTGGTCCAATAATCCAACAGGTATGACAGATTAGTAAATAAAAATCGCCAAATGTAAGACATCCACAGCCAGGACAACCTCACTCACAGGAGAGAGCCAGAAACCCCACACAGAGAAGAGCATAAATGAGGCAGCCATGATGTGAGGGGCCATGGTGATTTTCTACAACAAAGATCTATCCTTAGATCTGTGGCAAAAATATTTAAGAACTAATAAAAGGTGTTGGAACAACTGAATGGGAAAAATATTGGGCCCCCTTCATTACATCCTCCACCAAAATAAATTATTTAATTGATTTCAATAGCCATGCATAACTAACATAAAACACTGAGAGCTATCTAAAACATACCAAGAGATCTACAGTGAAAGAAAGGGAAAAATATACTATGCAAACATTAATCAAGTGAAAACTATATAACATACAGTAGACTTGAAGGCAAAAAAATGAACCACTACTACAAATAAAGATGAGTACTTCATATCAGTAAGTTCAATGTACCATATAATAAAAATTAGTCCCAAAATTTTATTCACTTAATAACATCCACTCAAAATTATATGAAACAGAGCTGCATGGGAAAATACACAAATTAACAATCATAATAGGAATTTAACCAACCTCTAACATTCAGATCCTGTTTCAGAACCAACAAAGCCCACAAAAAATAGTAAAAATATTTCAAAATATAACATTAGAAGCAAATGGCATTCAATGTGCATAAGTACTTCACTACACCCCAAAACTGCAAATTACAAATGCTTTCCAAGCACCCTGGGAATTTTTTTAAAAACCGACCATATTGTGATATAATGCAAGTTCCAACAAACTTTAAAGGACTGAAATTTATATATATATATATAAATGTATATTTATATATGTAGATATAAATGTATATTTATAAATGTATATATAAATATATATTTATATATAAATATTGTATATTTATATATAAATATATTTATATATAAATATACATTTATATATGTATAGGCACACATATATGTGTATATATAAACATGTATATATTTCTTGCTCTCATTGCCATTAATCAAGAAATCAGTAACAACACATAACTAGAAAGTACTTATATTTACAAATTATGAAATACAATTCTAAATAACAACCCAAAAATAAATCATAATTGGAGTTAGAAAACAATTTGTATTGAATGATAGTGAAAACACTTTTTACCAAGCCCAGATCAGTCAGGTTCCAAAGATGATCACAGCTTCAAGATCAGTGATTTTCAACCTCAGGTTGACTTTTCCCCCAAGGGGACATTCGGCACATTGTATAGAGACCTTTCAGATTGTCCTTGGGGTGGGGTTAAGGTGGGAGTTACTGCATTGCACTGAACAGAGGTAAGAATTACTAATAAGCACCTACAATGTAGGGAAAAATCCCCTGGGAGAAAATATTATCCATAGCAATGAGAACCCCTACTCTCTATGGAGCAGGATGAAGAGTCCATTAGAATACAAACAGCATGTGACTTTGCACTGTTGTGGGAAATGAAGCGACCAAACACCGAGGGATTTTGGAGTACGAGGTTTATTGTTTAACGTGCACGGGCTCAGAGGAATCATTTCCAAATTCTGAGCAATGAACAAAGGATTCTTGGGGTTTTTATAGTTTACAGGGTCTTCTTGTCTACGTGGCAAGGCGGGATACAGAAGCGGAATGCGGAAGTTAGTTCTAGCTAAGGGGCAGAAGCAGAGGACAAAGGCCAAACCTGAGGGTCAGTTTTAACAGCAGGGGTGTTAATCTCCGTCCTAGCTAATGCACTGTTGTTTACTTATCCTAGACAGCCCCATCATTCTCCCCAGGGCGCCTGGGGCCTGGGCAAATAAAGGTTAAACAGAGGTTTTTCAAAGTTTCCCATATCAGCACCATAGCTCTGAAATCATGCCTCGCTCTGGACAGGCAACCTGGAGGCTGACAGCTAAACAATAAAAAATAAATTAAAATGTCAGCCATCCTGCAAAGACTGGGGAGGAATGTCCTTGGCTAAGAAGACACCCACAAAAACTCAGAAGCCAAGGAAGATGAAACCTTAAGAGACTGCACCACAGTGTGATAAAACACAGCACTAAGGGTCATTGTCCCTTGTCACTGCCCAGAAATCACTCTTCAATAATTCTTTCTTAAAATTACTTACAGTCTACACTCTTACTCTTTTATATTCCAGAACTCACCATCAAACGTTCTCTTTTTTGAAAAAGTGAACATTTGCCATATTGTGAGTTCCTCAGATAACCTATACGGGGCACAATTTTACTTACAAAATACTTCTGATTTCTAGAACACCATTGCTCCAGGTCCTGAATTTATTTACAATGCTAAGAATCATGTTACTATTTTATTTAATTATTAATGAACTTATAACTAACACATTTTTAACTCTTCATATCTTTATGTTTTATTCCAAGCTCTATTTTTCATGCTTTATACAGCTTAACTGATATGAGAAATTTTGAAGAACCTTTGTTTAATCTTTATTTGCCCAGGCCCCAGGTGCCCTGGGGAGAATGATGGGGCTGTCTGGGATAAGTAAACGGTGCATTAGCTAGGACTGAGATTAACACCCCTGCTGTTAAATACTGACCTTTGAATTTAGCCTTTGTCCTCTGCTTCTGCCCCATAGCTAGAACTAACTTCCACATTCCGCTTCTGTATCCCGCTTTGCTACATAGACAAGAAGACCCTGTAAACTATAAAAACCCCAAGAGTCCTTTGTTCAGGGCTCAGAATTTGGAGACTGACTCCTCTGAGCCCGTGCACATTAATAAAACCTCGTACTCCAGAAACCCTCAGTGTCTGGTTGCTTCATTTTCCTGCAACAAAACTAATGTAATTTTATTATTGCATGACATCTTCTTTACCTTGACAACTCATGAATATCAACCTAGGGTTATTGTAAATAACACAACATAGTAAATTGTGTGGTAAATAACATGCAGGAGTAAATATCTTATATATATACAAAGAATAATTTAAAGATATAATCAAAGAACCAATGGTGAACCCCCAAATCTGGTATCTGGTCCAGATGATGTGCTCATAAAAAGTGGTTCCAAGGAACTAGTCACTGACATTGGGACCTGAGATTTGTACCTCGAAACTGTCTTTTAAAAAAATCAACAAGCCCTGCTAATGTAGTTCAGTGGATTGAGTGCGGGCCTGCGAACCGAACAACCACGGTTCGATTCCCAGTCAGGGCACATGCCAGGGTTGCAGGCCAGTTCCCAGCAGGGGACAGATAAGAGGCAACCATACATTGATATTTTTCTCTCTCTCTCCTTCTCTTCTCCTCTAAAGATAAATAAATAAAATCTTTTTTAAAAAGAAGCAACCAATGAATGCATAAATAAGTGGAATGATGGAATTATGTCTCTCTCTCTTTTCCTCTATCTCTCAAATCAATAAAGTTAAAAATGTTAAAAAAAAAAAAGACAGTCACTGATATCCCACTATAATCAACCACTTTTCCTGCTTACCTGTACTAAGATGTTACTCCCCAAAATTCCCACAAGATGGCAACAGAGGTGCACACTTGGGACATGTATTAGTTGGCTTGGTGTAATTGCTCGATTTTTATGTATAAAATGATAGCACTTTATTTTTAACCTCTTGGGTTAAAATTCATTTTAAATAGATGTTACTTTCTTCATTGTTTCCTTAAACAAAGCACATTACAAATGTGCTTTTCACACTTGGATCTTCTAAAACTTTCAAGCACACTTGGATCTTCTAAAAATCTGACTCTATTACATTATAAAGCTAGTGCCAACAAAGAACACATAAGACACATCTATAGCTTCCTTTGTCCTAATCTGGAAACCAGTCACAAGGTAACTGGGCAGTCCTTACATTTAGACATTTTAAAATACACTTCTAAATTCCATTGCCATCAACAGTCATTGACATTCCACCAGAACCAACCACTTTTCTTGTTGACTGGCACTAAAGTGTTATTTCCAAAACAAACAAGATATGGCAGAAGACAACCATGCTTGGAACTTGTTTTTTGTTTGTTTTTTTTTCATTGACCATCTTGTACTATGGAGCAAGTTTTTTAAAAAATCAGATTCTTTGAGGTTATGACCAAGATGGAGGCATAGCTAGAAAATCTTTACTTCTTCGCACAACCAAAAGGAGGATAAGAACCAATCTACAATCAATAAGCAACCAGAAGTTCCAGAAAATCAAACTGCATGGCACTCTGACAAC